GGAGTGGCTGGTGGGCTGGGTATGAATTGCCGCTGCTGCTGGTGGTGGTGATAGTGTGCCGTGGAGTCGGTTCCAACTCATAGTGACCATGCATAGGGTTTCTGGGGCTGTAAATCTTCACAGGAGCAAAACGCCTCATCTTTGTCCTGCAGAATGGCTGGTAGTTTTGAACTGCTGACCTTGAGGTTAGCAGGCTGACTCGTAACCACTATGCCACCAGAGCTCCTTAGAGGTTAGCAATCCAGCGCTTCTCCTACAACACCATACCAGAAGTCCATACTAGTCAAAGGGATTGTTTTTCAAACCTTCTCATTTTAGAGACGCAATGTTTAAGGCCCACAGAAATGTGGTTTCAGGCTGATGGTCCTATGATCAGTGAGGACTAGAATCTAGGTTCGGAGACTGCTTACACATAGCTCTCTCAAGCAAAAGAGTGCAGCAATCCAAAACCAAAGCCAGCACGATTGAGCATCAGCTATTCGGTGGAGGGCATGTGTCTGGGACTCACAGTAGAAATGACACACACAAAACTGCTATATGTAAATTTCAGAAATAGCACAGATGGGACACATTTGGCTATATTGGATAAAAATGTATTCACATATTTTTATGAATAAGAAAATACTCTAAACGTCTTTTAAAAGTCGTACTTTTTACCAAAAAAAAACTTATGCTTTTTTTTTATAGGCTGCCTTTTTTTTTGTGTGTGTGTGTGTGTGTGTGTGTGTTTATCTCTTCAACATCTTCTCAAATCGATACTTGACTGTCTGGTATTCCATTTAGGCACTGAGTTACTTTCAGTTTTCTACTAGTCAAAAAAAAAGGTGCCTAGGCAAAGCAGATTCCAGAAAGTTCTCAACGCTGAGGTACCCACATCTTTCCCGCTATGCCAAGATGCCCAAGAGAAAGGTCAGGTGGGCCATAAGGGCAGTGACGGAGGAACCCAAGAGGAGGTGGGCAGCGTGTCAGCTAACCCTGCTCTTACAACCTTGGAAATGAAGCCATAAATGGCAGGAGGAAAGATACATCTTCAGACCAAAAAAGTGCAAGCCAAAGGGAAAGGGAAACAAAGAGAAAATAGGTTGACGAGGTGAACCAAGAACCTAAAGACTTACCTGCCGAAAATGAAGACACTAAAACCAAAGAGAGACCAGCCGCTAATGAGGCTGGAGAGAAAGAAGCCAAGTCTGATGACTGTTTGTAAGGTAAGCATGGATTCGAACCACAACATCCACGGTTCAAGACCAGCAGTCATTGCTCAGGAGAAAGGTGAGACTTTTTCTATTAACTTTTCCCTCCACTTAAAACAATCTATTGTATCCTGTAATCTACGTGACCTCCTCACCACCTGGATCTCTGTTCCTACATTTTTTCCTTCTTTGACACTGTTATTGTTTTGATCTTCGGTTGACCTCCCAGCTCCTATGAATTCGTTGTTGTAATTTTGTTCTGTTCTGGACTCTGCAATCCATCATCTGAGTTTCAGGTGGTGTTGCCACGCCTGTCAATCTCTGGGTGTTGTCAGTTTTTGTTGGTTTTCAGTCCAAAGAAGTCCTTTTAGGATGTTTTGAAGTGCTAGATTACCTCTGACAAAATCTCTTAGCTTCTGTTTATCCTGGAATGTTTTGATTGCACCATTGTATTTGATTGATAGTTCTGCTGGATAGACGATTCTTGGTTGGAAAGATGAGACTTTCTTTAAAACCTCAGAAACCCTATACAGGAGTTCTGGTGTGGCGCTGTGGTTTAATGCGCTGGACTACAAGGTTGGTGTGAACCACAAGGTCAGCAGTTCAAGCTCAGCAGTCGCTCCTTGGAAAACCTATATAAAATCACTATGAGTCTGAACCGACTTCAAGTCAAAACGTACTCAATGGCCCTAAACAACAACAACCATGTCCTAACAGTGGGCCCTGTACAGCCCTTCTGGTACAATCCACAGGAATATTTTTATCGTCGATTTTGTAAATGCAAGTATTTTAGTAGCTCTAGAAACATTTTAAATAGTAGGAAATCCCACTTCATTTTATTTTCTAACCATAAATGCCTTTTTAAAAGAGGTTAAATCACTTTATCTTTTTATACAACCAGGAAATATTGTGCTGAATTGTGAGAGGCTTTGGCTAACCTGGGTGTCAACATAACTTTCCATTGCTTGGGGGGGGAGGTGGGGGAGACTGCTTTTATATGCCATAATGCAAAGCATGCATAATGGCAGTTTGGAGTCAGGGCCATGCATTTATTTGCATGAGTAGGACATCTGAAATTCTATTTCCATGTTGTTTTTTAGTAGAATTGTTTCTTAAAACTCCTTCCTCATCCAGACAATCCCTGCCAGAATGATGTGCCCTTGGAAACAGCTTCGCTCCTGGAAGTCCAGTTTTCCTCACAACCTTGTTAGGGGCTGTGAAGGCTTCACCATTGGAGGGTCATGTGAGTGATGTTAAGTTGTGAATTAGTGGACTTTTGACCATCAACAATTGATACTGATACTCGAGATCTTCTTAAGGGAAATCAGTCTCCAAATTTAAAGCTAGAAAGTCAATGGAATTTAAAAAGAATGGTATGTAACTGCGTGGCTTTTAGATTTTTTGGTATGCACATTAAGAACTGTGTGCAAACTGTTATGATTTTCTTTGTACTGATCCTCAAGACAACCAATAAAATGCCAATTATGAAAGAATACTTTCATGCACGTGAATTAAATTAAAGGAAAATACAAACTTAAATTGGGCATTCTTTTGGCTGTTAATGTTGTCAATGCTAAGCACCATGGAGTCCAATCCAACTCATAGTGACCCTATATATGACTTCTGAGAAGTGGCTGGTGGGTTTGAACTATGACCTTGTAGTTTGTAATCCAGTGCTTATCCTAGAGCACCATATCAGCTATTAGTAGTAATAATAGTAAATATAACAAAACTATGAAAGTGGCTACTAACAATCCATAGGAATAAGATATTAAAGAGGGATCATCTCCAGAGGTGGAACTATGGAGGGCTTTAATTTGACTGTGTATATACTTACATATTCCTGTAATGCCAATTTTCTTCAGTGAGCAGGTATTACCAATTAGTGCTGTCTGTTAACCTAGGCATTATGTATGACATCACATCCATCCCTAATTACAACACTGTTTACCTAAATACCCATTCTCTACCATAAGCACATGCATTCAAAGAAACTAGCAAAAGAAACTCTGAGGGCATTCTCAAGAACTACTTCTCACGTACTGAGAAACTAGCTTAGTGTTGACACAACAAAGACCTACACGAGAGATCCACGCACCTTGCTCTGTGGGGTCTCACACTTTACTTGTGCTCCAAAGATACTGGGTCTCTTACCAACAGAACGTCTGTGGCGATCCTACACCCAGGACATCTGTTGGCACCATTTCTTCCAACGGCACATGCTCACTTTGTGTCTCTTTGTCCCATTTTGATCATTCTCACAATATTCCAACTGTCTCACAATGCTGCTACACATTTACTAGATAATGTTGTTGTCGTTAGGTGCCATCGAGTTGGTTCCGACCCATAGCAAGCCCGTGTAATAGGGTTTCCATGGAGCAGCTGGTGAGCTTGAACCACCGGCTTTGCAGTTCAAACAGCTTCGCAGTCTGGCACGTTAATCCACAGCGCCACACCAGGATTCCTACTAGACTATTGTGCAGTGTAAACATGGCTTCTACAAGGAGGCTTCAAAGAGATCATGCAACAAATGGAACCCAAAGACAGTGGAATTTGTCCACAAACTTTCTGAAGCTCCCTGTATAGCACTGGGAGAACCACAAATTCCGTGTGACTTGCTTTCTTGTGAAAGTCATTGTCATGCGGTAGTCTGGGATCACCAAATGTGCCTGTAATGATCATTTACATTCAAGTTTGGGAAGAGGGCAACATGGGGCTTTAAAGACACAATTCAAATCTGGCCAGGATGAATGCGTTCAAAACTCAGCCACACAAGACCGGGGAACTCCTGGGCCCAGAGTCAGTGACACAGCCACAGAGGACTAGAGTGGAGAGTGAAGCGTCCAGCTGATAAGAAGAGAGGGCATATGCATAAGAACACCCGCACTTGCAGATAATACCCATTTGACCTGGCTTCAATGACTGGATGATCAGAACTCAACTAGAAGAAGAAAAAAAGAGCAATATGATACAATTTGACGAACTTGACCTACACCTAGGATGCAGTAGCTCAAAAGAGGGAACAAATCCTTACAGCAAGGATCATTCCCACCCCCTCCATACACAGAGTAGACAGGGATGGGCAACTTGGACATTGGCTACCCAAAATGTGTGTGTGTGTGGGGGGGGGGGTCTTCAAAGGCAAGTAAGTGACTGTCTTACAAGCTTTCAAGAGGGAACCTAGATCCAGAGGGCATGGAGGAAGGTAGAATCTCCACTGAGTAGTATCCAATTTGTCTGGGCGGGACTGATGAAAGGAGATGGGGATAGGACCCTTGTGGTACAATATTAAATCATTGCTATCAGGACTGATAGTGAGAGTTGGAAATGTAAAGGTAGACGTTTTGCAGCAAAAGGAGGGGAGTGGTTGACTTTACAGTCCAGGAGCGGAGGTCCTTGGGACCATCAAGGGAGAAGAGCTGAGTGTGTGACCCTACCCTGAGAAGCAATGATGCCAGTGATGGAGGCAGAGACAATGACATGGAGAGATGGAATAGCTGGGGACTTTAGACCAGAGAGGGAGAGGGGCTGTGTGCTGATGACCAGGGGACAGGCTTGCAGGGTATATACCCTTTGGTTGGTTGATGATGCATGGAGGGAATTGTAATCATAGCAATGAAACGATATACGATAGGAAGAATGTAAAGCTAATGTTCTCCCTTGTAAACTACCACATAATCCACAATAAAACATTTAAAAAAAACCCTCAGCCACAATAATTCTTCTTATTATAATCACTCTTCTCCAAAAATATCTGATAAATATTACCAGCCCCCAAAACATGGCTCACAAAGAAACCAGAAAGCTCACCGCTTTTGTTTTTCAGATTCTTTCCTGGCTTGTTCCAGGGCCAGCTCCTCAGCTACTCTTCTTTTCAAGTCTTCTTCAGAAACTAGAATCAATAAAGAGAGGGAGGAGATGAAATAAAATGAGTTCTTGACAAGCAAACACACACCCCATCACTCAATTTTCAGCTGAACAATAAATAGGTAAGGTAGGTCTACAGGAGCTCTGGTAGCGTAGTGGTTGCAAGTCGGGCTGCTAACCTCAAGGTACCAGTTTGAAACTCCCAGCCATACTGCAGGAGAAAGATTGAGGCTTTCTGCTCTTGTAAAGATTTGGTGGTGGTGGTGTTAGTGTGCCGTGGAGGTGGTTCCAACTCATAGCGACCCTGTATAGGGTTTTCCAAGGCTGTAAATCTTTACGGGAGCAAAAAGCCTCATCCTTCTCCATCCCATTAACAACAGACGCAACAGCAAATAACAACAACAATAACAATTCACTATAAAAAGATTTTCTTAAACAAACAACCAAGCAAAAGCAATCAAGAAAATAAACCCAAGACTAGATCTTATTGGGCAAAGTCCTGTCAGACAGTCCTCCTTGGAACTACCTTCCAAAGTCCAAAGTAAAGCCACTACCATGGGATAGGTTCTAACTCATCAAGGTTCTACAGGACAGAGAAAACTGTCTATAGTTTCCAGGGCTGTAATCGTTGTTCAAGAGTAAAGACGCCATCTTGAGGAGGAATAAGGTGTCCGTGACTCTAGCCATGGTATTTTCAATCACCTCATATACATGTGAAAGTTGGACACTGAATAAGGAAGACCTTAGAAGAATTGATGCATTTGTGTTATGGTGTTGGAGACTATTAAAAGTACCAGGGACTCCCAGAAAACTAAACAAATCTGTGTTGGAAGAAGTACAGCCAGAATGTTCCTTAGAAGCCAGAATGGCCAGACCTCATGTCTCCTACTTTAGACATATTATGTAGAGACCAGTCCCTGGAGAAGTACATCATGCTTAGTAAAATGGAGAATCAGCAAGGAAGGGGAAGACTCCCCAACCCAACGAGACAGATTGGCACAGTGGCAGAAGCCATGGGCTCAAGGGTAGGAACCACTGTGAGGTTGGTACAGCATCAGGCAGTGTTTTATTCTGTTGTGTGTAAGGTCATTATGAGTCAGTACCAACTCAGCAGCACTGAACAACAATAATCATTACAAAGGTAGACATCCAAATCTTTCTCCTGCAGAACAGCTGGTAGGTTCGAACCACCAACCTTTTGGTTAGCAGCTGCATGCCAACTTTACCAGTGTCCTATCAGGGCTCCTGTGGAAAAGACCAATGTGTGCCCTTCAGGAGTAATTTAATCAAGAGTTCTCTGGTGACTTAGAAATTTCTACACCTGCTAAAATTTATAATAAACTCAGGGAACTGCTTATTGTCCAGTGGGGACTGAGCCATTAAATACAAATTCTTTCAAATTATGTCTCTTGTTAAGGTGTGACAATCACAAGTAAGTGTAGGAGGAGTTAAGGCTGAGACTTTAGGAAGAAAAATGAAACTCTGAGACTTAAGTACTGAATACTGTCATTTTTGATTGCGAGAAAATAATTTCTATTTGTATACATTTTCCCATGATTTATGGAGGGAAAAGAGCCATTTTTAAATACAAATTTTTTTTGAAAAAAAAACAACAACACATAATTTGATCCTAAGGAGGTCTGGTGATGCTGTGGGTTAGACGTTATGCGACTAACCACAAGGTTGGCATTTCAAACCCATCAGCCGCTCTGCTGTCTGCTCCGGTAAAGATTTACAAAACCCTACACAAGGTCCCTATGAGGCAGAATTATCTAGATGGTGGGGGGTGGGGGGTGTTGGTAATTCCGATTCAAGTGCCAACAGCTAAAGACAGGCAAAGAGGAGAGCAGAGAACAGGACAGAAGTATTTCAAACCCCGGTGATTGGATCGGGAGCATCCAGTGGTTCCAATTAGGAGATTCTGTATGAGAGACAATTGGGGCAGATCCTTATAGCTGCAGTGACAAATAAAATGGACCTGGGTCATAGCCTTCTGTGAGAAATAAGCAGAGGCTACTTCTTCTTGCCTAGAAATCCACTACCCAAAATTATGACAAAGAAAACCCCAGAAACTCTTGGGAGGCTCTTGGAAAGCACACAAGACCCTATCATGTCACATGATTGCATCTAGTAGATGGGGAGTTCGCCAGGACTCCCTCTGCTCTGGGGAACACATTAATTTTATGGCTCAAACATTGTAAGCACCCCTACCTCAGGGCAGAGGCAAAGAATTATAATGCCATATGCAAAACCTCTTTAAATATTTAGCTGACTTTGGGCTATATTGAATATATAAGAAGAAGATGTGTGGATTTTTCGTTGTTGTTGTGAAGTGCCATCCAGTCAGCTGTGACTCAGAGCAACCCTGTATAGGGTTTCTAAGGACCAGCTGATGAGCTAGAACCACTGACCTTATGGTTCAAACACACCTTTCAGTTCAGTGCTTATCCTACAGTACCATACCAAGACTCCACGGATGTTTTAGTTACAGGCTTATCAGAAAACAACAGCAAAAACACACCATCAGAAAAGTCAAAAGAATTCAAAGAATAGGAAAAAATATGTAACAAATCACACAGCCCCTTACGAGGGACTTGTATCCAGACTTGTAAAGAACTCTTCTTCCAACTCACAACAAAAAGCCAATAGCACAATTGAACAGCAGGAAAAGAATATGAATTAGGCATTTCTCCAAAGGAGATGATCTAGAAATGGCCAGTAAGCATATGAAAAGTTTGTCAACATCAGTCATTAGGAAAACGCAAATCAAAAGCCCAATGAGATACCACTTCACACCCAGTGTAAGAAAGAGACCAACTGTAGCAAAGGGTGGGCAAGGATGTGGAGAAATGGAAACCCTTATTTATAAGTTGCTGGCGAGAATATAAAGTGATTTTGAAAAATAGTTTGGCAATTCCTTAAAATGCAAAATATAGAATTACCATGCGATCTAGCAATTTCACTCCTACCGAAACAAGATAGCAGGGGGATTCAAAACAATTCATGGAGAAAAGGACCTGAAAGGTAATGAATCATTCCACCGATTTTTTTAAGCCCCATTGTATACTCCTGTGAATTTAAAACATATGCCTATATGCACTTGTACACAAAACTCTATAAATAGCATTATTCAGAATATTCTAAAAGTGGAGACACCCTAAATGTCCATCAGCTGATGAATGGAGAAGCAAAACACAGTGACATCTGGTCAGACAATAAAAAGGAATGAAGTCCTTCTAACATATCACAGCCCGAGCAAACCTTGAAAACAGCATGCTCAGACAAAGAAACCCACTTGAAGGCAGCTAACAACATGTTGTTGTTGTTAAGTGCCGTCAAGTCAGTTCCAACCCACAGTGACCCTGTATAGGGTTTCCAAGGTGCAGCTGGTGAGCTTGAACCACCAACCTTGCAGTTCAAACGGCTTTGCAGTCTGGCACATTAACCCACAATGCCACACCAGGACTCCCTTCTTCCTCTACTAGATAGTTTCAAATTCACTTGGCAAATTTTTTCTCTCAAAAGCCTATCCCTATCCAGAAACGCCACCACTCATCTGTCAGTGTGTCATACTGTGGTGGCTTGCATGTTGCTGAAAGTGAAGAGGACTTAAAATACTTACTGACGAGGACCAAAGATTACAGCCTTCAGTGTAGATTGCACCTCAAAATAAAGAAAACAAAATTCCTCACAACTGAACCAATAAAGAACATCATGATAAATGGACAAATGTTTGAAGTTGTCAAATACTTCATTTTGCTTGGATCCACAATCAACACTCAGGGAAGTAAAAGTCAAGAAATCAAATGATGCATTGTAATAGGCAAATCTGCAGCACAAGATCTTTTAAAAGTGTTGGCTAGCAAAGAGGTCATTTTGAGGACCCAAGTCATGGTATTTTCAATTGCCTCATATGCACATCAAAGGTGGACAATGAATAAGGAATATGTTAGAAAAACTGATGCATTTGAATCACAGTGTTGGGGAAGAAATTTCAAAGTACCATGGCTGTCAAAAGAACAAATCTGTGTTTGAAGAACTGCAGCCAGGATGTTCTGTAGAAGCCAGGATGGTGAGAGTTCCTTCCTCATACTTTGGACATGGTATCAGGAGGGACCAATCCCTCCAGAAGGACATCATGCTTGGTAACGCAGAGGGTCCGTAAGGAAGAGGAAGACCCCCAGCAAGATGGAAGCAGCAATGGGCTGAAGCGTAACAGTTTTGAGGATGGCAGAGTTTCATTCTGTTATCAGTCAGAATAGACTCGATGGCATCTAAAGACAGTCTGGAAACTGACAACTCCCTGGGTGCCATAAATGGTTTGCACTTGACTAAAGGAGCTCTGGTAGCATAGTGTTTATGAATCGAACTGCGAACCGCAAGGTCAGCAGTTCGAAACCACCAGCTGTTTCGTGGGAGAAAGATGAGGCTTTCTGCTCCCATACAGATTTACAGCCTTGGAAACCCTGTGCAGGATCGCTATGAGCTAGAACCGACTCCACACACATAACAACAACAACAACTAAAGGTTGGCCATGAAACCGTTTTATATCTTCACAGCACATTGATGCCTCCTCACACTGGGGCTTCTTACATCAGGAAAAGTCAAAGTCAGCAGCAGTGAGCTTGTTTTTATGAGGAAGACCAACCTGGAAGGAGAGAAAAGTTCTACTACCAAACAGGTAACCAGCTGAGTGTTGGGAGTGACACATGTGGCAGGGAGCTGAGAAGCAGTGGTGTGGGAGCTAGAAGGTAGCCTGGTGGATGGTGTGACTTCCCAAGCCCCTTCCACCTTCCACAGTCAGCTGTCATGGGCTGAGGTGGTGCTGAGAACTGAGGAGGGCCTCTGTAAGCATAGGGGCAGAAGAAGGAAGCAAGGAGACATCACCAGCAACGGAGGATACAGCACTTTAGAACGCGTGCCTGGGGGGACTAGCCAGTTAGCTTGGTTGACTTGGCATCTCTTGCTGCCTATCTAGCGCATAAAGGCGACCAAGGCCAGGTCCACTTTCTGATGCTCTAGCA